CCACCCACCCACCCACCCATCCATCCATCCATCCATCCATCCATCCATCCATCCATCCATCCCAAGCTTGTCAAGCTAAGGTACTATGTAGTTTTGGGATAGTTGAAGTAATTTGTAACCAAGAGGATGGGCTTGTTGACTTTAGACTTTTGTCTTCCGCACTCTTAACAGGTGATATTGGCCAGGTGCCTTTCCCTCTCTTCCAAAGCAAAACTTATAACTATAAAAAGAATTTGTATCTTATTTGGACAAAGCTGGAAAAGAAAGTTTGCTCAAAGCCTTTAAAAAAAAAAAAAAAGCGCTAACCACTTTCCCCAAACAAAGATGAGACAGTAACTTAGTCTTCCTTCTAGCTAAATACAACCTACGCAAGTTTACTGAGTAAGCCCAGGCAAATGGAGAGATAATCATGTTTTTCTCCTACTCAAAGAGTTTACACCGAGACACAGACAGACAGTCCAAACAACAGACTGTACCAATTTCAGAATTAAGATCCAAAATGGCCACAGAGAAGTTCAACCAAGGCTTTAAAGCTAACAACCAAGCCACAATCTGCTTTAGTAAGCTCGTCAGTCTATTGCAACCTGATCCTCAGAATAGATGCAGGTCCCTACTCTTCTGCCAAAAGTTGCACTGCTGCACACACATATTTTTGTTGTCATGGTGCCCCTTTCTGGAGCAGCTTTTCCCCCTGAGATTCATATGGTCCTGGCTGTGATCTCTGTTAAATGAGCCTTTAAAATAGACCTTGTTAGGAGCTGGCAATCTTCTCATACGCTGATCTGGTTCTTAAATTTTCGTTTCTTACTCCTAGGGACACCTTCTGATGGTTTTATGATTTTTCCCAGTATTTTACATCTGTATTTTAAGCTGCCCAGAATAGTGTCAGACTGGGGCGGCCGATGAATCTCATTTATTCACTAATAAATAAAATACAGACACACAGGTAGTCCTCGAACTTACAATCATGTGACCACTGGAAGTTACAACGGCACTGAAAAAAAGTGAGTTATGACCGTTGCAGCACGCCCAGGGGGTCATGTGATCAAAATTCGGACACTTGGCAACCGGCTCGTATTTATGACAGTCGCAGTGTCCCGGGGAGTCATGTGATCCCCTTTTGCGACCGTCGGACGAGCAAAGTCAACGGAGAAGCTGGATTCGTTTAACAACCGTGTGACTGAACAAGTGCAGTGTTTCCTTGACCAACTGCGACAAGAAAGTTCATCAAACGGGGGCGAAGCTCACTTAACGACTGCCTTGCTTAGCAGTGGGGAATTCTGGGCTCCACAATTGTGGTCGTAAGTTGAGGGCTTCCTGGATTTAAATCAGGAACGCTCAACTTTTTCCTGCCGAAGGCCACTGCTAACATGGGAAGATCATGTGCGCGGTGGGGGGGGGAGGAGGACTCTAAAAGGGAGGCAGGCCAGGCTGCCCTCCCCCCCCCCAAAACAGAAGTCAGAGCCAGGCAGGATTGCCGGCTGGAAAAGGAGGGTCAAAAAAAGTCAAACTTTCAACGCACACCTGCAAGGTTTGGCTATGTAAACCTTCTTCGCCAAAGCGATCGGCAAAGATGGGTAACAGGGAAGGACTCTGGGAGGTGGACAAAGGACAAAAGCCACCCCTGTATGGGCTTACCTGTCGCACTTGTGAGGACAGCGGGGACGGCTGGACGTGCCGTTGTTGCATCCGCGAGGGCTGCATCAACTGCCGCAGCTGCTGCTGAAGGAACTGGTTGTTGTTGACTTGTTGGGACTGCGGAGAAGTTGCCGCTTGTTGCTGAAGATAATGCATGAGCGACTGCTGCCCTGCGTTGGAAGCCATCGGCGACATCTTCTGGGCAGGGGGGGTCTCCGAGTTGAAATGGGAGAGGGGCTTGGTATTGCTGAAGGAAAACTGGTCTTGGGTCACGGGACCTTCGCTCCCCAACCCCGGTTGAATGCTGTTGGAAGACTGCGTCATGATGACGTTCATGTTCTTGGGCTGGGCGGAGGGCATGGGTTTGTAGAGGGAACCCTGCAGGTTGGTGGGATTGCTGGTGGGGGTGGGGTTGGAGATCAAGGAACCTTGAGGGCTAAAAGGTGGTTGGTGCAAAGCAGGGCTAGAAAGTTTCTCTGGCCTGTAGGGCGAAGGTCCAGCATTCGGCGGCCCCAAAGGGTTCGGGGAACTTTTAATGCTGTTGGCTGAAATGTTGGGCAGGATGGAGTTTGGAGGGCTGAAAGATTGCTGGTTGAGGACCGGACTGGAGAGCCTCTCTGGGCCAAAAGGAGGAGACAGACCTCCGGGTGGATTACTGTTAGACGTGATGCTTGAGAGCAGGGGGTTCTGTGGACTCTGAATATTGCTTCCCGGAAGGCCGTTAGGAGTCATGCTGGAGATCATGACATTTTGAGGACTGAAGGGCTGGTGGTGCGGAGAAGACCCTTGCCGGTAAGGAGGGGAAAGACCTTGAGAAGATATGGTGGGCCAGTTTGGCGTCGGGGGCTTGGACGTTGGGGCTTGCTTGCTGGCTAAGTGCTTCAATTGCTGGGCGTGCCAGTTGGTCCCAGACATATGGATGGCTTGAGTCTGGCCCTTGTTGGCTGTCGTTGAAGAAATGGGCGAAGCGACAGCCTTGTTTTGAGACGGAACGGAGTAGCTGGCTCCAGAAGACGGCGTCATCTGCGGGGACCCACCGCTTGGGTTGCATCCAGGAGAAAAATCTTTGTTGGGGAGATGGTTGTCCAAGGGGGCGGCCTGCGGAGAAGACTTGGAAGAGCTGTTCATGGCTGTGGGAGGGTGGGCCAGGTTGCCCATGGGCTCTTCCGGTTTGTTCCCTAAGATCTTCTCAAGGTCCAGCTCGTTGGGGGAAGGGTCCGGCATCTTGGTCAACTCTTCCAACAAATCTTGCAGTTCCTGGTCCACGGCATGCATGTTGCTCCCTTTGTCGCCATAATGGCTCCCGAGTGGCCCCTTCTGCCCAACGTCAGCGTTAGGTGGGACGGAAAACGGAGACCCCATCCCGCTCCCGTTCATGTGGTTGTTTTCCAGGAGCATTCCGTGTCCGGGCATGGTGGAGCTCCCGTGATTGGCCGAGAATGGAGAGCTTTGCATATCGGGGCATGAAACAGAATTGGTCCCAGGACCCATGGAAAGAGTGACATCCTCAAGACAAAGTCGTTTACTCTCGCTTGGGAAGAGGACGTCGGGCATGGCGCCGGAGGCTGGCGAAGCGTCATCTTCCACTTTCCTCTTCACGGATCCCTGTAACTGCAAGATAAAAGGGTTTTTATTCAACAGGCAGGAAACGCTGAACTTCGTGGCACAACCTATGCTTAATGGTGGGAGCCGGTGTGGCCTAGTAGTTAAGACACCAGGTTAGAAGCGAGGAGACTGTGAGTTCTAGTCCTGGGACATGAAAGCTAGCTGGGTGATTTTAGGCCAGGGGTCCGCAACCTTGGCAACTTTAAGACTTGTGGACTTCAACTCTCAGAATTCCCCACCCTCCCACAGCCATGAACAGCTCTTCCAAGTCTTCTCCGCAGGCCGCCCCCTTGGACAACCATCTCCCCAACAAAGATTTTTCTCCTGGATGCAACCCAAGCGGTGGGTCCCCGCAGATGACGCCGTCTTCTGGAGCCAGCTACTCCGTTCCGTCTCAAAACAAGGCTGTCGCTTCGCCCATTTCTTCAACGACAGCCAACAAGGGCTGAGGAATTCTGGGAGTTGAAGTCCACAAGTCTTAAAGTTGCCAAGGTTGAGGACCCCTGCTTTAGGCCAAGCACCAGGAGACTTGAGAGTTCTAGTCTCACCTCAGGCATGAAAACCAGCTGGGTAACTTTGGCCAATCACGGGAGACAGGGATCTCTAGTCCTGTCTTAGACACAAAAGCGGGCTGAGTGCCTTTGGGTCAATCACCAGGAGAGAGTGAATTATAGTTCCCCCTTAGGCATGAAAGCTGTCTGGGTGACTTTGGGCCAGTCCCTCCCTCTCTCAGCTCAAAGGCTGTTGTGGAGCAAATAGGAGGAGAAGGAGGAGGAATATCGTGTGCATTTGCTGCCTAGAGTTATTTATAAAAATAATACAGGTGGAATATAAACAAACAAACAAACAAACTTGTAAAGGCCAATCAGCGGAAACAGCAACCGTCGGGGACGGATAATTTAAAGGTAAGGGGTTTGGTTAAACTTTGGTGAACCCGATTTTAATCTCTTCTCAAACGCTCCCGAAGTAGCTAGCCTTGACTTCAACCCCCATGCACACAAACCAACGCTCGCCTTCACCGGGTTACGCTTGCCCATCACAAACCATGGTTAAGCATACCGTGGAAACTAAAGTCCCAAACCTGTGAGAGCATTTCCTCACATCTGCTGCGGGTTCAATCTCGCCTCTTTCCTCTATTCCAGATTTACTATCCCCATTGTTAGAGAGACCTCAATCTCTTGAGGAGAAATTGTTGTCATTTCCTGTTTTATGAATATATTTTTAAGACAAGAACTTTTCCACCAGGGAAGAAGGCTCTCGGCTCTTAAGAGGACATACCATCCTCTTTTTTCTGCAAAAGTTAATTTCTCATCCAAACAACTGAACGCTTGTACAGAAACCTGGCCCAAAGCTGGCATAGCATAGCTAACAAAGAGTATTAAGTTCAGAGGGAGACAGATCAACAATCTGACATTCCTTACAGGCAGAGCGTTTGAAATAATCCGCATACTTTCTAATCCAAGCACAACAATGCTAGCCGGAGCGATCTAAACAGACTCTACCTAACTATAGATACTTTGGAAGGGCCCTCAAACAAAACAGTTTCAAAAAAGGAGAGAAACTAGATGCACAACAGCATGAATGAGTGTCTCTTTTGAAGAGGTTTTCACACACACAAACTCCACATTTAGCGTCTATAGCGATGTGATTCTCAGTTACACAGGGATTTGGGGATCCAGGAATTGTAATGTAATCAAACGTTACACTTCCTGCTGTGTCCAAAGATGACTTTCAAATAAATAAAAAGAAGAACAGATAACCTGCCCGTTCACACACACCCCAAATTTAATTATTGTTGGTTCCTCCCATTCAAAAACCTATGATCTACAGGGCCAATGGGATTAGATCAGATTAGACCATAAAGCTTAGCATCTAGATTTAGTTTTTGGAAATGATCTAAGTGATTCTGGAGGAGGAGGAGGAGGAGGAGGAGGAGGAGGAGGAGGAGAAGAAGAAGAAGAAGAAGAATTGGGTATGTCTAGTTTAACGAAGAGAATGACGAGGGGGGACATGATAGCAGTGTTCCAATATCTCAGGGGCTGCCACAAAGAAGAGGGAGTCAAGCTATTCTCCAAGGCACCTGAAGGCAGGACAAGAAGCAACAGATGGAAACTAATCAAGGAGAGAAGCAACCTGGAACTAAGGAGAAACTTCCTGACAGTTAGAACAATTAACCAGTGGAACAACCTGCCTCCAGAAGTGGTGAATGCTCCAACACTGGAAGTTTTTAAGAAGAGACTGGACAGCCATTTGTCTGAAATGGGGTAGGGTTCCTGCCTGAGCAGGGGGTTGGACTTGATGACTTCCAAGGTCCCTTCCAACTTTATTATTATTATTATTATGATGATGATGATGATGATGATGATGAAGAAGAAGAAGAAGAAGAAGAAGAAGGCACTAAAGAGATAATTGTGAAGACTCCTCTATTCGTATAATTTATGTAGCACTTTAAAACATTTAAAGGATTTTCCTTATGATATTGAGCTTCAGATAAACCCATCTGTTAAAAAAAAAAAGGTTTGATGTACACCAATTATGGGAAACATAAAGGACTCCCTTACAGCAGTGCAAGACATAATTAACCTTGCTTTTCAAACCTTCCAAGTTCATTTATCGTACCTTCCTTCAGCGTTTAGGTAGCTTGGAAAATGTGACGCCCCAAATGAAATCAGTTTGCTTATAAGCCTTGCATTCTGCCAGTCACCAAGAGCCTGGCTTTAATTTGCCAAAGCGTGCCGAGAGCTTTCTGAATCCACAGCCAAGGGAAAAAAAGGTGATGTCTGGGCAGAAAGAAGTGACTTGTGAGCAGTCCTCATAAGGTATAATTTGGATTTGGGTTGCAAGCACTGGAGGAGAAACCTCAGACGTGGGACCTCTGCAGCAGCTGCCAAAAACGACCAGCCCTTGGCCTTTCATTGGCGATGTAAGTCATATGGAACATGGCAGCTTTCAGAGTGGAGAGCAGCTTTCAGAACGGTTAATGATAGATGCCTTCTCAAAGTTATGACTGTAGACCTTGTCACTTCCTCCAGTCTAATTCATATCCTGCCTTGCATAACTTCTGCACAAAAAAAGGGCAAAAAGAGACCAGCTCAGCAGCCAGTTACAGCTACACGAGTCTCCAAGCTATGTTACACCCAGGAGGAACGAGAAATCTTTCTTCAGTTTCAACATGCTTCCATCAGGAGATTCTCCTCCTTGTAAGTCTAGGTCGGCGGTATCCAACCTTGGCAACTTTTAAGACTCGTGGACTTCAACTCCCAGGGGTGTCCAACTTTTGGCAACTTTAAGACTGAGGTCTATGGAGATTCTCAATAATCCAGGTCATGATTGTCCCAAAGGTGCTTTTCAAAAGGCTGGAATTCTTTCAGAAGAACCGAAGAAGCTTCTTGGATGAGAAGTGAAATGTTTTCAAGAAAAAACTAAGGAAGTCCAGTTGGCTTTTGAAAAGCACCTTTGGGTTTAAGACTTACGGGCGTCAACTCCCAGGGGGTGTCCAACTTTGGCAGCTCGTGAACTTCATGGCTGGCTGAGGAATTCTGGGAGTTGAAGTCCACGGCTCCTAAAAGTTGTCCACGGGTCTTAAAGTCGTCAAGGTCGGACACCCCTGGTCTAAATGAAAATTCCACCCACCCTGAATGTGTTCCTCAAGCTGATCTGATTTAGTAGAAAAGCAAAGATAAACGTGGTGGGACATTTCATAATTTGCAGTTAAGGGGAAACATTTTGCAAAAAAATCCTACCGTTGAGGCCTGTTGGGAGTTGCTTTCAAGTTTAAATTTCTGTCTAAATCATAAGCCAGCTTTTTCACATTCTCATCTTGCATTCTTTATAAACCATTTGCCGCTTTTAGTTTCTAAAAGAGCAAAATCTTACCATTTCCCACCTTTTGATTAAGAATCAAACAACCCTGTTTCTCTTTCAGTCTCATTTCCTAAGGGATGGCTTATTTCCAGTCATGCTGGAGTAAACACTACCTAGTCCTAGCCCTTTCCTGAATTTTTCCTTTGCCAATAAAAAGAGTTTTCTGTTTTTTTCTGTATCTCGGTTTCAAGTACTCTAAATTTTGTTTCAAATCTCACTGCTGGTGTTTTTAAACTTATTTTATTGGTGGCGAATGTTGCTTTTCTCTCCCATGCTTACAAATCTCACAAATCAAGTTGACACCCACAAAGGGTGTGACCCATCTTCCATCCATTTTTTTTGTTGCTTTAAATCTATTTTTTTTTCATATTATAAAACACTGTCATCCCCTTTACGGCTCTTTATCAAGTTCTTATTTTGCGTTAACTGCACAACTTAAAGCAACCTCGACATTCGTTAATATCTCAGAAACCACATTGAACATTGAAGTAATTTTCTTTCTCATCTTTAAAGGTTTAATTGATCTTAATCATCACAGTGTTAACCGTTTCCAGTTTCTCTTGTATAAATACCACTTCATTCTGTTATTATCTGTATTCTGTAATGTATTATTTGCGCTTTATAATGCAATTAAATAATTAACTTAGAGGAAGACAAGAAAACGAAGCCTAGGGTTTGTTTGTTTTTTTTAAATTCCACCCTTCTTTTAAGCATCACACATAAAAAAAAAAAAAGCAGGGGTGGACTTTTTAATGGTACTGGCGTGGCTGCCATCTTGACTTTTTTGACCTGCAGTCACCTTTCCTCGCCAATCCCTCCCTCTGCCTAGCTTCCTCTTTTTAATCTGTACCCCTTTCTTAAGATTTAACAAAGAGCGCTCAGGAGAGATTCTCAGACTTTACTATTGTCAGATTTCAGCAAAATTTATTGTAATGAATTTCTCCTGGAGAAACTGGAGGAACAAACACACTTCCTCTTTTTTTCTGTCCTGCCTAGGAAAAACAATTTTTTTTTTAAAAAAATAAAAATCTGCAGAGAATATTTTGGGCTCAGCGATATTATTCACCTACCCAACTGCACCCTAACTCTTATCCCGCCCG